CTATTTACTTCTCTTATTGTTTCTCTTGCTGTGAAAAAACTTTTTAGTTTAAGTAAGTCCCATTTGTTGATTCTTGCTATTAACTCTTGTGCTATGGGTGTCCTATTAAGGAATTTGGAGCCCTACCCCACAATATGTAGATCAGAGCCAACTTTTTCTTCTATCATACGCAGAGTCTCTGATTTGATATCAAGGTCCTTAATCCATTTTGAGTTGACTTTTGTGCATGTTGAGAGGAGGGGATTCAGTTTCATTTTGTTGCATACATATTTCCAGTTTTCCCAACACCATTTGTTGAAGATGCTATCCTTCCTCCATTGCATGCTTTTAGCCCCTTTATCAAATATAAGATAGTTGTAACTTTGTGGATTAGTCTCTGATTATACAGTAATAAAATTCTTAAGGGTACATTAGTGCAAGATGTCACTCCACACCCCAACTCAGTGAGTTCTCTATTCCACCAGGCAATGTGAAGTTAAGCAGCACTGCTATGCATTTTCTGTTCAAAGTTGTATTAATCAAAACGATCTTCTGTCTACAGTTCAACTTTCTTATAACATATTTTAATTATTAAAAACCTGACTTTGATGAAGTAATATCAAATCCATATAGCTCTCCATACAAGGGGTAGGGGGAGGTACCTTAAAATTTTCAGATTTGATATTGTGTTTTTAATCTTCATGTATGATGTCAATAGAGAATTATATGAGTAAATCAACACAAAGGATTGAGTACTAAGGGTTAGGAAGAAATAATATCAATTTCTCTTGACATTCTTCTTTCTTCCCTTTTTAACACATTTCTAATTTTACTACAAAAATAAAATTTATTTTTATTTTTCCCTAGGTTTTTTAAGGCATCCTTGACAAATAAAATTATTTATATTTAAGATATACAACATGATGTTTTAAAATACATATGTATTATAAAATGATTATTATGGTCAGGTCAAGTCAATTAACAAAACTATCACCTCCCACAGCTATGATTTTTATTGTATGTGTAGTAAGAATACTTAGCCTCTACTCAGCCTTGGAGGCAAGGAGATTTTAGTCTGGCAAAGCTCGTGATGACCTCAGTCTTCAATCAGCTAGAGAGGCTGCTCTGTACCTGGGGACTTGGGCGTTGGACAGCCCTCCTCTTGCCTTATTTGGTAAAAGAACATTCCACTGAAATCCTTTGAATCCCCATTATATAAATAAAAAATGCAGACTCTTCTTTCTCTCACCTTCCAGTGTGGAAGCAGGATCCCTAAGGTCTCAGAGCCCTTCTACCCTCACTTTTCAAATTATTTATGTGTCATGTGATTTTTTTGGCGGCATTTCTCAGCCAGAACATTTCACACAAGGGAAACCCAAATTTCATAGGCCATGTGGGACACAGGAGAGAAGTATAAGGATTGAGATTAAGCACAAAATCAGCAGAAGGAAAGAAATAATAAAAATCAGAATGGAAATAAATGAAACATGGACCAGAAAAACATGAGAAAAGATCAATGAAACTTAACTAGACTTTAAAAAAAAAAAAAAAAAAGATCCAAATAAATGAAAATTGAGACTTTTACAATTGATACTAGGGTGGGTGATATTTATTTTATGGTACAAAGTTTCAGAAAGGATGAATAAATTCTAGAGATCCAGGATACATCATGGTGACTCTAGTTAATAATGCTTTTTTGTTTTTGTGTTTGAAGTGCTAGGGATAGAATTCAGATCCTTGCACATGGTAGGCAAGTGTTCTAACACTGAACTCTACCCCAGTCCAATAATAATATATCATGTACTGAAAAATTGCAAAAAGATTAATATTAAATGGTATCACCACAAAAATATTTTAATAAATACCTAAAAAACACCATTGTTGGCATATTACTTCTTTCCTCTATAAATGTAGTTTTATATAATTTATTTGTTTCATGATCATTATATTGAGAATATTCTTTAATACATATTTTAAATAATGGTAAATTGAATTACATCCTATAGGTATACTAAAATGCATTTAGTATTTTTAAGGATTAAATTTTTAAAAAAATAATATTTATTGATCATACTATTATAAATACCAGACATTCATTATAAAAGACCTAGGAATACAATAAGAGAAAATAAAATCACAAGTAATCCTATCATTGGGAAGAGCTCAAGGTTACCATTTTGGTATAATTATTTTTTTAAAAAATCTCAGAAGTATTTCTAAAAATACACTTTAAAGTATAGATACATTTACATTTCAAACAAAATTATATAGCCATAACATTATTATTAATTATACTCATAATGCTGTGCATGATTTACTCTTTCATAATATATGCATATAGATCATCAGGTATCACAAATGCATCCCTCTCAATTCCTTAAATATTAAATATAAGCATACTTCCATTATATAAATTGGCCATCATTTATTGGTTAAGATATAAACTACAATTATAATAACATTCTTGTATGCATTTTATTTGTGCATAAAAGTTTCCTCAGAATAAATATTCCATGAGTATCTACTTATCAAGGATACAAATATATTTAAACCTCCTGCTTCACTAAGGAATCTATAAAAACCCAATGGCTTTCCTAAGTATGTGTAGAAGTTTATACTCACTCCCAGTAGCATACTGTTGTCTCCTCATCAATATTGAAAATGTGTTGGATGACATGTTATTTTCACTTTAATTTACCTTTTCAATTACTAGTGAGATTAATTTTTAAACAATCATTTATAATGTTGCCTCTAGAAATCATATATCCATTCCATTTGCCTGTTTTTCTACTAGTTGGTTCATTAAAATGAAGTTTTGGAACAAAAATAGTATAATCTAATAATTATTTCAAACAAATTTAAAAAGTATTTCTCAAATCAGGAATGATGAACTGTATAGAAATATTATTACAGAGCTATTATTAGCTCCTAATAAAACTATTGCTTAGAATATGGGAACGATATGCAGGAATTTTTAAATTTTTCATTTAAGTATACTCTTAAAGAAAACTATATTTCTGGATTCTTTTAACAATGAGCACTGTCATACCAATTCTGGCACACAAAACTGCATCATATGAACCCAAATAATATCACCAACTTTTTTATAAAGAAAAGTTTCAAACAGTGAAGAGCAGAGGGTACAGTATTTACTCTTACTGGGATATATTATAGGCATTTTTTATTGACCTACCTATAAGAGTACATTCATTATCAATTTGGTAAAAAATAACTATATCCAACATCTTTTTCATTCAGATTTCAAAATATTTCAGTGCTCACCTTATTTTCAAATGTACAAGACAGATTCAGAGTTATCAAGCGAGACCATTAACAGTTCTTACTTACCAGCCTAACAGGGAAAAAAAAAATCTTGGGACTAATGCCAATTTATATACCACTTCTGTCAAAGCACTATTTTAACTGAACTAGACTAAAGGTAGAAATGAATTTCAGATGCCATCTCCTTGATGTTCCACCAAACTTAAGTGAATTTAATTTTAACTTATTGGTTTTATAGCTGTTTTATTTTGAGAGAAAATATGAAGATATGTATATATCCAGTCTCATTTATAACAGCAGTGTTATAAATTAACAATCCACAATGTTTAGTATGACAAATAACAATCTACATGTTTAGTATGAAAAATATTAGTCACTCAATGGAATAACATATGATCACTGAAAAACATTTGTATGCAAAGTCTTATTTTAGGCAAAAATCTCCCCCTATTTCTCCATCTGCTATACTGCTAATGTGTCTCTTTTACTTGTAAAATGAAGCATATTGTGCAAGACTATAACTCATTGACTTCCTATTTTTCTAGGAGTTATGTGTACACAGGAAATACCAATTAGAAACACATCATTCATGTTAGATTCTTAATAGCACCTTGGCACCTTCACACCTGCAATGCCTAGCACAATGGCTACAGAATCCGTGAAAGTTCTGAGAAAGAAGCTTACCACAAGTACTTTTATAACACTTACTTTCATCATTTTCTCCGGCCTCAGATGTCACAGTAATGGTGAAGCTGGGTGGATTTTCTGATAATACTGCAAGAAAATACACACAGATGTTATTATTCTGCTTCCTATGGCAGATTTTCTTCCTTTTTAGCATTTGATCATTACCCAGGCTTCAAACTGCTTCCTGGCCTATATTTTCATTTCCAGAAATACAGACTGACCAGAATATTGAAATGATAAAACCTATATCAATTTTCTATTTAAATGAGTTTTCTTTAATTTACAAAGAAATACATATCTTTATGTTTTACCAAATGAAGCATTAAGTAATTTAACTTTTATTATCTACACATGAAAAATTCAACTCCTAAAAACCTCAAACAGAAGGTAAAGAGTTTGATGATGTTTGGCACCAGACACTGCCCGCTGGTATTCATGATATTCACTGACTTTCATACTTCTTGCTCTTTTCCACTTTCTTAAGTGTAATCAAACTTAATCCTTTCACAGATACTTATTAAGCCTCCATCATCTTTCATAGAATTATAAAAGGAATTAGTTTTGAATCAAAACATTTAATTGCTTATAGTTTATTAAATGAGACATGTAAGTCAACATTTACATAAGAAAACTTTATAAATTATTTTACAGCTTCATACCTAACTAAAATTACATCTTTTTATCATCTTTTTCCCCGAAAAATATTATAAAAATTCTAGAAACCTCCTAGATCAATGCCTGGCAGAATCAATAAATATTGGCTTAATGAAAGACGGACTAAACTAATGGAAGAAAAGGAGAGACACAAAGGAACAGATTCAAAACCAGATGAAAACCAAGGAAACTTCAAGCTACAGGGAAGGCCGCTTAAGCCAGTCAGGAAAGCCTATGTCTTACTTCCTACCTGGGAAGCTCTGGTATCTGCACTGGCAGCAGATCTGCAGACTTTGTGAAATGAAAGAGCAAGGAATCACTCAAGAAATCATTACAGAAACTACTTGGCTTTTAGTATCAGAACGGCCCAAAGCCATCATAAATATATATATAATCAACACATTTTTAAGATGGATGTCTTCATATTAATTGCAATGTAAGGTACTTGAAGCAATGGTGAACATCTATGATTACCAAAAAGGTGTTTGGTCAGGAAGACGAAGGATGCATTGAATTCATATTATACTAGATTAGATCTCAATCAGTCCAGCCCATGATGAAAAAGCACTGAAAGCTCATTATAACAAAGTTTACAAAATAATTGATCTCATCTATTTTTTAACAAATGTGTATTAGATACAGCTGATGTGTTTAATTTTTTCCTTTCATAACCAATTTTGGCATTTTTATGTCACAAAATGTAAACTATCCAACAACTTTAGAAATAAGAGTTCAACTGAATGACTTTTACTTGTTTCTAGAATTCTATGAAGCTGTTGGTCAGGGATATCCTATACCAGGTATAACAGGTAACATTCTAAATTTAGCATTACTTTGTGATTGTGCCATGTATTTACATAAAAATCTTTTAATTCTAACAACACGACTGTTACTGTATTTCACTAAATTTAGGATGCCATCAAGTATGAGATACACTTTACCTTATATACCACTAAGAAAGAAAAAGCTACCAATTGAGCTATGACACATAATYCAATCAGTTTGTATTTCAGTAATGTTAAAATGTAAAAAATGTGTCTCAGAAAAGATTAACTATATTATCACTCCAATTTCATAATGTGGAAACTTAGACACAGAGATTTTATATAATTGATCCAAGGCTCTACAACTAGTAAATGGCAGAACTAAACAGATATATAGTTTCATTTAGAAAGAAAAATATATATATATTTCTAGCTGAGAAATTCCATTTGAGTTAGGCTGAAAATCATGGGTGGCATGTAGAAATGGAGAAAGGGAACATAGCTGAAGGTACCATGGCAGCAAAATCATAATGATTAGAAAACTTAAGGATCATATAGGGAATAATTATTTTTTCTGTTTGAAGTATATATATGTAAGCAAAAAACACTAGGGAAAAATACAATTTAAAGTTTAGGCATGATCAATAACAGTTTTTAATAGTGGTTAAAATTTTTTTCTCTACAAACAGGAGAAAAATCTGGCAATAGTATATAGAATGGAAGGAGGGAAACAAGACTAGATATGGATGAAACAAGGTCACTGCTATAATAAATCAGGTAAAGGTAAGGAGGTTCTAAACTAGGTTGTCAGCCATGGGAATGGAGAAAACAGGGAGGAAGTTAAGATGGTTATCAGATATTGAGTTTGCAGGATGAGGACATGATACCACTAACACAAACAAAACACACACACACAAAAATCAAACATGGTATATTTTAAAGACAGAGGTACTCTGAGCTGGAAATGTCATGTAGGCAATCAGAAATAGACAAATGGAACTAAAGAGAACCAGGCCTTAATTCAAATTGGGATCACTTATAAAGAAGCGACAAACTAAATAAGATCATGGAGGAGAAAATGTAATAGAGAGATAAAGGCCAACATTCACTTTTAAAGGGATCCTCAATTTGAAGAACAATTAAGTGGAAGAAAAAAACTGACAAAGATTACAAGAAGCAGCCGCAAGAGATAGTAACAAAACCAAGAGACAACAATGTTAAACAAATCAAGGGGAAAAGTTTCAGAAAGACATGGAAGATAATTCTCCCCACCCCGTTCTACCCACTGTCTCTCAAGAGTTTTCTAGCAAGCAGATTTTATCACATCATTACCCGCCTATATCAGCAGTTCTCTATCTATATGTGGTGTTGGATCAGTTGTGAAAAGAGGGTGGCATCATATAGCCAACACACTAGAAACTATGCATAACTGAAATACATTTTATTTGTGAAACTATACCAGTTATAAGGATCTAAGTTTGATATGGCAATGTCTACAATGTGTACTACATAGTTTTATAGCTATACAGGGGAAAAATGGACAATGAACTATTGCCTTATAAGATCATATCTAAATCTCTGACAAGGCCCTCTGTGATTAGACCCTGCTTATTTGTCCAGTCTCATTTTCTATGACTCTCACTTCTCACTTTATATCCCAGAAATACCAAACCACTTGTCCTTTGTATAATCTATTGAGTCTGGTTCTGCATACACTGTGCCCACTGTTGAAACACTCTTCCCCCCAGTCTCACTCACTTGTTAATGGAACTCTTCCATTACTCCTCAGTTTCCCACACAATTCAAGCTCTCTCTTCTTCCCTAAATTTATATTATGTCTGTTTCCCTAGTAGACTAGTTCTTTAAAAATGTATATAAATAAATATTTGGTCAATGAGGAAGTCAAACAGCCATGGGTATATGAGCAAGAATATCACTGAACATCAGTGAACCTTGTGAGCCAGATTGAATAGGGAGGCAAGACAGACCAGAAAGAAAACTGAACAACCATTCCATGAGAAATCATGACAAAAAGTTCTAAAAGCATTACAGTGAAAGAACTATAGGGCTACAAAAGTTATGGACAGAAGGAGGAATTTCAGAAGCCAAAATTTKTAGAGATGGCATTGCCAAGGAATGCCCATGGCCACATGCAACTGAAGGATATAATCAAAGCTGTTAGTTGATGAAGGCAATGAATTATAAAGTCACACCATTAAAAGAATCAACAATGAAGATGGTAAATTTCTAGAAAAAAGTATATTTGTTTAATGGATATAAAGAATTTCTACTTACATTATTTCCCATTAAAAAGATATATAGGCTTGAAGTATTATGATTTGTCCAAGGACACTATATCAAGATGTCACTATACAGAAAAAAAATGGGACCCAGGTACAATAAAGAAAAGGAATATTGAGAAACACTGCTGATAATCCCCTAATATTGAGTCTCCCCTTGTTCTCGATATGCCATTTTTAATTGAGCATATTGACCAGTCCCAGAATAAAAGCTGCATTTCCCATTTCTCATGAAATGACTCAGTTTTACTTAACAAGATAAAAACAGAAATGTCCATTGATGGTTTCCAGGACCTCCCTTAAGAAACTTCTGGCTTTCATCCCCGCCCTACCCTAGCTTAATTTCTTTATCTGTCCTGTTACCTGAAAAGGGAATACTACCATCACTTAGGCCAAGAAGGTGAGAACACACCTTAGGGATGACAAAGAAAAGGATCAAAAGAAGCCTCTTCCCTGAGGAACTTTTGGATTGGTCCTGCCATAAGTCTTATGTGCAAGAGCAATAAACTTTTACTTTCAAAAACTAATGTTATTTAGGGTTTTCCATCACAGCTGAACCTATTTTTAAAACAGAGAAGGGGGTGATACAGTATGTGAAAGTAAGGCAGCAACTAAAAACAGAGATGGAGATCCTGAGTTCTGATGAAGGAATACCCCAATCTAATACATACATTACTGTGAGTTGGGATAAGTATCAGATGCCAGACTTGCACCACTGTGAGTGGATCAAAATAATTTTGAAAAAAAAAAAAGTAAGATTGTTGGGCATAACGGAAGGGTAGGAGAGATGTTAGATGACATAGAGGCAAATAATGGTGAGATGGAGAGAATTAAGGATTTTGCCAAAAACAGATAACAGGCAGTAGCTAAAAGGTATATTAGCAGAGCATACAAATGACCTTAGATTTCCACAAAGAACTAGTAAGCCAATATTAAGATCAGTCCCCTTGGTTGTTAGGGAGTATTTAATCTTTCAAAAGTATGTTTAAGAAAAACTGCTTTTACAAGAGACTCCTGCTCTAAGATATACTGTTAAATGCAGGATTGACAGGGCAAATACAGGATTATGTACACCTCTTGGCAAGGCAAACAGAATTAAGGGAACCTGGTTTTTGGTTCACTTGATGTCAACCAATTTATCTCAACAAAAACTCCCAACATCCAGAGATTTTGATACAGAAACGGAAATAACCAAATTCTACTACCTTAGCAGGACCTTGTCAAGTGAAGCACTACTGAAGGAGAATGTGGTATCAGGAGAGTCCATTTATAATTTTGGAAGACTAGTTGTTAGGAGGGTTGGATCAATGTGCAATCAAGCTACAGAATAGGCAAAAAGAAGAAACTGCATTATGATTTGTTATAATTCACAACAAATGCAACACTGGACCAAAAACTCTTTGCAAATAGAAAACCTGTTAACTCTGAGGTTAGTGTAGGTCTATGCACTAGAACTGTGCCTCTTCAGCATCCACATAAAGGCATGTGTACTTAACAAATGCTGCTTTCTTTAGCTCTCAACCAGCCATTAGAAGAAAAAAAGAGGGGGTGGGTATCTACTTCCTTCATCAATAGCAAAGAGCATTTACCAAATCTAATATTAACTGTGATTCAAAATGAAGTTAGAAAACTATGAATTAGTTCTTTGACAAACTGACACAAGTAAGCTCTCTTTCTTAAATCTGGCATAAAAATACAAAAGTATGGAAACAAACAAAACAAGGCTATATAAAATAGCAAACCTTAAAAGTTCTCAAAATTTCAAAAGATAAAACATGGCAACATTTTATTTCAAAGTCCTCTGCCTTTCTCCTAAGACATTTCATAAAGAACAAAATCACAAGACAAAGGTCCCTAAGAACTATAAATCAAGACATTTTAATTTATTTATTGCAAAACTTATAGAAATGCTATCAGGAATTAGAGATGTAGACTCAAATGATAACAGTAGAATACTTGAATGCATCAAAAAATTCATAAATATCATTTATTATCCTGGTTCAGAATTCTCAAGCACTTGTGTATCTGTCAAAATTTCTACATACTGAACTATACCAGAGCTGTCATGGCATAATACAATTTGAAATACTTACATAACTTAAAAACATATCACTTTCCTAACTATTTATATGCACATATAATAGTAAGAGATACCTTAACATCCAAAAAAAAAAAAAAGAATATAAGAATATCACACCTATGCTGATTTGCCTCTACCTACAGAGTTCATGTCTGTGATAAGTCTGAAGTAYTAGAAACCACCAAACATCACCATTAAGAATATATCCAACAACTGACCCTGGTATTCCATTTTATTTAGACATTGATATATAAGCAAGGATAGAGAAGGGAGCCAGACTCCATACACACTCACCCAGGTAATGACACTCTCAAACCCCTCTTCACTCATCCCCTTAACATCCTCACAGCACAGTTGTACTGCTGGTGAGAGACAACATGAACAGGACTGGAGCTATACTGGGGTAGCTGACACACTTCTGCCTGTTGGCAAAGCAGAACAAAATTTGCTACCATTGCAAGTAGTGATCAAAGGGCGGAACCAAGGAAAAACTAACCTAAACAATGAAAGGGAGAGGGGTTACAGTTTATGACCTCAAGTAATACATTTTACACTCTGATATCTATGATAGACAGCACTTAAAGGATGGGGAATGCCTACTCATTCGTAATGGCCTTACCTGGACTTCTTCTCAAACCTGAGAGAAGCTATACTGATAGAATTACCTTATCGCACTTTCAGAATCAACTGAAGCATGACTAAATACGTAAGAATTCTCAATATAGCTAATAAACTTCTCACTAATATTTTATCTTAGCCCAACCAATAAGTAATCTGCTTTCCTTCATATCAAGCCCCAAAGCCTAGAAGAGGAAAAAAGACAGAGTACCGGACCTAATACTTAGTACCATCCCTGCCACTAACTCGCAGGAGGTACCAAAGCAAGCAAACCACTTTCCTTTCCTGAACCTCCGTTATCTTACTTGTAGCAAAAGTCTCAAACTAGATGCTGTCTAACAGCCTAACAACCTACAAAACTATAGCGGAACAGAAATTTGGGCCACATCATTCATGAGGCATTTTGCAGAATGCCAGGGAGAGAAGTTGTGTTTCTTTTTCTTTCTCTTTAAGAAAGAAAGTCGACAAACTCCAGGGATTACGCTACTCTCAACACTGATTCTAGGTTGCTCTAAGAAGAGCACTGGGAATCCCACAATTTTTCAAACGCCATCCTATGAAACACACCTTCTATCGAGTTAGGGGTAAGTACGTGAAAACTCAGACCTTTGCGGCTCTGGAAAAACAAATCTCATTCGGAGTATCTTTTAGTGTATTTCACTGATTTTTTTTCGGATGGATTCAGGTTACACAGAAAGCAACGTGCTCCCGACCCAATTCCAGGCCTGACAGTTTCCAGGGACTTCACCAGCGTCACCCCGCTTTTCAGATCTCAGCGAACAATCGGAGAAGGGGAAACAACCACTGAGTTACTGGCAAGCGGCTGAAAAACTTGGTGTGGCGGGCGGAGTGGCCACGCGGCCTCAAGGTCCCCTCTCCATCCCAGCCAGGGAGACCTAGGCCTGAGGCGGCTCCTGCCCATCCCACTCCACGTCGAGGCAGCTGTGGGCTCGCGGCAGCGAAAATCACCTGTGAAGGAATCGGGGTAGATGGACTCGAGAGCCTCCAGCTCATTGCGTTGCTCCTCGCCGTAATCTGTCATCGTGGCCCTCGCTGCTCCCCATGGGTCGCCCGGATCCCAAGGCAGCGCGCAGCAGCTGAAAGCGCGGCCGCGCCGGCAGCGGGGCGGGCGCAGGCGCAGAGTCCCGGGCTGGAAGGAACGCAGTCCAAAGCCAGGCCGGACCTGCTGAGCAACAACACCGCGTCGCCCTCCGCCTGAGCCCTTATTCCGCGTTCGACTTATTCGGCCTAGCCAGCGGGGCACTGATTTGCCGCCTGTTCCACGCCTGTACGACGTTTGCTGGGATCTTGGAGGCATCTGGTCTGGCATTCACTAAGGACACCTATCGCCGCTGCTGCGCTTTGCAGGGCCTGAGCCTGAGAAGCCTTCAGCGCTGCATCCTCGCTCGATGAGTCGGGGCTGAAGGTGCCCTTAACGCTTTGGGTCGGACTCTGTCTCTAATGGCGRGCGGTGGGGACGTCTGCGAACTGGCGCATTTTACGGTTTCTGATTTACCTGCTGTTGAAGCTAGGCGGACCCCCAGCCTGCTTTTGGTTAGGTTCAGGTCATTTCTGCCCTTCTCCAAGTTCAAGTTTAAGTTGCTGGGCTTCCTCAGGAGTTGAGCGAGAGGCTGGGACCACTACGGAAGCCGATAAGCGGAGTAGCAGAAGGTCTGCTAATGCGTGGGGCGGGTAGGCTCAGCGCCTTAATAAGTAGAGGTGAATCCAAGGGAGAAATCGACTGGGGTCTGGGGATCTGACCTTTAGGCTCATATGGTTAGGCCTTATTTTTGAATTTGTGGAAGAACTCGGCTTGCATATAATAAAGATGTCTATCATGATGTATTTTTGTGAATTGATGAAGAGGAATGTAGACGCCAGTAACAGTTTTGATATGCAATGTAAAATTTTGCTGCACCTTGAAAAATGTTAAGAACCTTTGATTTGGTAATGGTACTTATGAGAATAACATTGTCAACTCCAAGCGTGCGCAGCAATCACAAAGGAATTTGTCAGAGAACCATAATGGCAAAAACTAAGAGGATGGGGAAATAAGCGTGGTGTTTTAATGAGAGAAATATTAAATAACCAGGTTTGTGTTTATGTTCGCAGTAAAGGAACTCAGGTTCCTTTATTATATGATTATGTGTAGCAAAAAATGTGGAAAATGTAAGAAAATACTCTCAACATGTTAATAGATTTTCTCCACATTTATTTTCCTTTTGTTTTCTGTATTAAATCTGATTTCATTTATCTATTACGGGGAGCACTTTTTAAATAAGAACTCTCTAATGACGAAGGTTCTGAGATTTTTCTCTTGTTAAAAAGATGATGTCTCATGAATCATAAGGCATCTCGATTTTTTTTAAATTGGGAAATATTGCTTACTTATAACAGAGGAATACTTTATAACAGCATACTCAAGAACAATCTCTAACGATTCCGTGTTTTAAATATTCACTTAAGCTTGGGTCAGAGGAATCTTCTGACTATACTGAGAATTAAATAAAATGTATAAAAGAACTTTCCATATATAAAATGTTTCATTTTCTGGATATCCTTAATTCAGAGGAATTACAATTGTCTCTTTTCAGGAAAGAGCTTCAGGGCAGAATCCATTGCAAAGGTCATAAGGTGGGAACCCACATAGCATGTTGGAAGCCAGTGTGAAGAGAGCCCAGTGAACTTTGGAGAAGAGGATGATTATTACAGATTGTATAGGATTATTGGATGTTTAAATGAAAGAGTAATGGTTTGATTAAAAATACCACAGTAGTTTCTATGGTGTAAGAGTTCTTAGGGAGGACCACATCTGAAAGTATAGAGAACAGTTATGGCAGTAACCTAAGTAGAAGACAATGGAAATCTGGACCAGAGTGACAGTAATTGAAGTGGTAAAGTAATGATGAAATTCCAAATATATTTTGAAGATAAAACTGTATGACTTGACATGAGTTATAAGAGAAGAGTCATAGATTGTTTTTGGCAAGTGACTAAGACAGCATATGTTTGGAAAGAAAGATGAAAATTCATCTTTGAATCATGGATCAAAGAAAAATGCAAAGTAAATTTTTTACTAATTGATAATGCAAACTAGTTACCAAAATAGGTGAGACATTGCAAAGCAGCCAATTTAATATTTATATTAAAAAAGGAAGTTGCTATTGCCATTTAAGTTTTAATCTAATGAATGGGATGACCATTTTACTATTTTATTAACAATTTTTGGTAAAACATCATTTTCAAACCTGTTACATATCATTGTAAAACCTCTGTTTTTCCAAATGTTCCAGAGTGGTGTTTTTAATACTAGAGATAGTTTCCTTAGAGAGTTTCATACCTAGCGTAATCAAAAGAACTGTTTTAGTCAGGTTTTTTGATGTGACCAAAAGACCTGACAAGAACAGTTTCAGAGAAGGAAAAGTTTATGTGGGGCTCCTGGTTTCAGAGGTCTTAGTCCACAGCTGACTAACTCCATTACTCTGGGCTTGAGTTGAGGCAAAACATATGGCAGAAGTGTATGCAGAAGGAAAACAGCTTAGGACATGACAATCAGGAAGGAGAGGGAACTCCCCTTGAAAAGGACAAAAATATATATCCCAAAAGCACACCCCCAGTGACCTACCTCCTTTAGCCATTGTCTATATGACTACCACCCAGTTAATCCATTCAACTGGATTAATGTACTTATTAGGTTAAGGCTCATAACTCAATCATTTTACCTCTAAACTTTTTTGCATTATCTGACACATGAGCTTTTGGGGGATACCTTATACCTAAACCATAAGAAAAACATGCCCCCAAATATTTACCTTCTCATACCTACGTAGACATCATTAAATTTTTCTTAGTTGATCCCTTAGTTTCATTTGTCAATGAGAGAAACATTTCACAGAGCACAAGAAGCCCTTATCTGAAAATATGGCAAATTCTCTAAAGGCAAGTTGACCCTTAATTTATAATTAAAGATGGTGTGGAACAAGTATGTTTCAAGCTGTGCAGGTAAGCAAATGGTATAGTGAGAATAACCATCATGGTCTGTGAAGCCAGAAGTGAGAAGCCCATCCTTAAACATTTACAAGCTTTATAGGATCATTTGGATAGCATGAAATGTGTGTGGAAACATATAATAAACTAGAAAATACAATGCAACTGTTGTTTATTAGTGATTTGAAAAATATAATATCCCTTGAAGCATTTCTGTTCTCTGTTCTTTTTTATTGCTAAAGAAAAATGTCCCTAAGAGATTAACCTTTTTTAAAAATTGATTTTTAAAAATAAATGATAGTGGAATGCATTACAATTCTTATTACACATATGGAGCACATTTTTTCATATCTCTGGTTGTATATAAAGTATGTTCACACCAATTGTGTCTTCATACATGTACTTGATAATGATGTCCAACACATTCCACCATCCTTGCTAACCCCCTGCCCCCTCCCTTCTCCTCCCAACCCTCTGCCCTATCTATAATTCATCTATTCCTCCCATGCTCCCACTCCCTACCCCACTATGAATCAGCCTCCTTATATCAGAGAAAACATTCGCCATTTGTTTTTTGGGGATTGGCTAACTTCACTTAGTGTTATCTTCTCAAACGCCATCCATTTACCTGCAAGTGTCATGATGCTAAGTAATATTCCATTGTGTATATAGGCCACATATTTTTAATCCATTCATCTACTGAAGGGCATCTAGTTTAGTTCCACAGTTTAGCTATTGTGAATTATGCTGCTATAAACATTAATGTGGCTGTGTCCCTGTAATATGCTGTTTTTAAGTCCTTTGAGTGTAGACCAAGGAGAGGGATAGCTGGGTCAAATGGTGGTTCCATTCCCAGTTTTCCAAGGAATCTCCAAACTCTTTTCCATATTGGCTGCATCAGTTTGCAGTCCTACCAGCAAAGTGTGAGTGTACCTTTTTTCCCACATCCTTGTCAACACTTACTGTTTGTCTTCATAATAGCTGCCATTCTGACTAGAGAGAGATGATATCTGAGTAGTTTTGATTTGCATTTCTCTAATTGATAGAGATGATAAACATTTTTTCATATATTTCTTGATAGATTGTATATCCTCTTCTGAGAAGTGTCTGTTCAGGTCCTTGGCCCATTTAAATTGATTGGGTGGGTGGGTTATTTATTTATTTATTTTGCTGCTTAGCTTTTTGAGTTCTTTCATCACTATACCAGACCTTAAACTATACTACAGAGCAATAGTAACAAAAACAGCATGGTATCGGCACCAAAACAGACTGGTAGACCAATGGTACAGAATAGAGGACAGAAAGACTAACCCCCCAAATTACAATTATTGTATTAGACAAAGGTGACAAAAACATGCATTGGAGAAAAGATAGCCTCTTCAACAAATGGTGCTGGGAAAACTGGAAATGCATATGCAACAAAGTGAAATTAAACCCCTATCTCTCACCATGCACAAAACTGAACTTAAAGTGAATCAAGGACCTAGGAATTAAACCAGAGACTCCTCTGTGTCTAATAGAAAAAGTAGGCCCTAATGTTTATCATCTGGGATTAGGCCCCAACTTCCTTAATAAGACTCCTATAGTGCAAGAATTAAAACCAAGAATCGATAAATGGGATGGATTCAAACTAAAAAAAATGTTGTTGTTGTTGTTTTTTTCTCAGCAAAAGAAACAATCTGAGGTGAATAGAGAGCCTACATCTTGGGAACAGTTTTTCACMCCTCACACATCAGAGCACTAATTTCTAGGTTATACCTAAGGGAGTAACCTTAATCATTTGGATTCATCTTAGTTTCTTCTGTGGGTAATGCAAACTCAATTATCTTTTAATATTATGTCTTTAAAATTTGTTTTGGTGTTTATTTTTGCTTTCCTATGCCTATGAGTTCTCAATCTTACACTACTCTTAGAAGCTCAGAATTGAGAATTCCTTTTTTAATGTTTAATTTAATTTTCCTACCATTCATGTGGGTGATGTTTCATTTACCCAGGTGTCTCAAAGGCTGTTCAGCAGTCATAAATACAAATAACTGTAAAATTTTGATTGGAGGTGGGAATCTCAGTAATACTTCTAGCCTAACTGATCTCCCCACTTTCACCCTTATCTCACAGTCTACTCTGGCTCAATCCAGCAGCCAGAATGATCTTGTTACAGTGTCATGAAGTCATATTACTCCTTTGCTCATAACTGCGCCTCACTCACGTCTCAGGTTAAAGGTCTATATCTTTACAAATGTAGGTCCTGTAGAATCTGGCTCCCTGATGCTCTCCTGCAACACTTCTTTCCTCTCTAACATGTCTGCTCCAGCCACACTAACCTATATGCTGCACTTCAGACATGCAAGATAGTCTCTCCTCCAAAGGTCTTTGCACTCACTCTTTCCACTGTCTGGACTAATGTTCCTTCCTCAAAGGCAGAAATTTTATTTGGTGCTATATTTTAGCACATATACCAGTCACTCAGAAAAGTATTTACACTCAGAATGAATAAGCCCAGTGGAGGGATAATGGTATGATGTTAAGCACTGGACCAGGGATTGTAAAACCAGGTTTTGGATCTTTGCAATTACTTTAACACATGAATTTAGGTAAGGTACCACATCGCTGGGTCTCACCTTCTCCATCTATAAAATGAGGGCTTTGTGTAAGATGATTTAAAAGTTTCTTTGCAGAGGTAAGAGCCAATAATTTCTCAAGGTCTTGCTCATTTTGGAGCCAGTTGTATGGAATCAGACTTTAAGACCACATTTAATTTCTTTGA